GAAAAACAACATAAAACAACATAAAACAATTTTTTTCGAGAATTTCTGTTGCCTGCGGCCGCTCGCAGGAAAACAACTTCGAAAAAAGCAGCTCCCGGCAGGAAAACACCATGGCTCTGAAGGACGAACTAGTTCCAAAACCACGCCAAAAAAGTGCCTAACGTCCCGTCTGAAATCCTAGAAAAACAAAATTTTTCGAGAATTTCTGTTGCCTGCGCCCGCTCGCAGGAAAACAACTTCGAAAAAAACATAAAAGCAGCTCCCGGCAGGAAAACACCATGGCTCTGAAGGACGAACTAGTTCCAAAACCACGCCAAAAAGTGCCTAACGTCCCTTCTGAAATCCTAGAAAAACAACCTTTTTCCGAAAACAACTTCGAAAAAAGCATAAAAGCAGCTCCCGGCAGGAAAACACCATGGCTCTGAAGGACGAACTAGTTCCAAAACCACGCCAAAAAAGTGCCTAACGTTCCTTCTGAAATCCTAGAGAATCCTAGATCTAGATCTCTAGATCTATCCTAGATCTAGATCTAGATCCTAGTTCGGGAATCCTTGCTAGGCCAGCTGCTTCGGCCGAATCCCCCAGAATCTCCTAAACAATATTACAGCTAGGCCTGCTGTTTCGAAGCGGTCCCGAAACAGCAAAACACCACCTAATTTCGTGCCGAAAATAACGAAAAATCGCGGCTTCGGGAATCCTTGCTAGGCCAGCTGCTTCGGCCGAATCCCCCAGAATCTCCTAAACAATATTACAGCTAGGCCTGCTGTTTCGAAGCGGTTCCGAAACAGCAAAACACCACCTAATTTCGTGCCGAAAATAACGAAAAATCGCGGCTTCGGGAATCCTTGCTAGGCCAGCTGCTTTGGCCGAATCCCCCAGAATCTCCTAAACAATATTACAGCTAGGCCTGCTGTTTCGAAGCGGTTCCGAAACAGCAAAACACCACCTAATTTCGTGCCGAAAATAACGAAAAATCGCGGCAGAAAACTACCTAACGTCCCTTCTGAAATCCTAGAGAATCCTAGATCTAGATCCAGATCCTAGATCTAGATCCAGATCCTAGTTTAGATCCTAGTTCGAGAATCCTAGCTGGGCCAGCCGTTTCAGCCGAATCCCTCAGAATCTCCGGTAGCTAGGCCAGCTGTTTCGGCCGAATCCCTAGAATCGCCTAAACAATATTACAGAAACCTGCCTAACGTCCCTTCTGAAATCCTAGAGAATCCTAGATCTAGATCCTAGTTTAGATCCTACTTCGAGAATCCTAGCTGGGCCAACTGTTTCAGCCGAATCCCCCAGAATCTCCGGTAGCTGGGCCAGCTGTTTCGGCCGAATCCCCCAGAATCGCCTAAACAATATTATGGCTGGGCCTACTGTTTCGAAACGCTTCCGAAACAGCAAAACACCACCTAATTTCCATCTTCTTCCCTTACGCGCTCCCCCTTGCGTCGGCCGGGGTCGGCGGATATTAACATGGATGATTTGGGGGTACCACCATTTTAGGAAACCTCCAAGTGGCCAAGGATGGGGGCTTTACTAAGTTTTACCAACAACAAGTAGAGATACGGTCGCAGGGAATTTATGATATCCAATCACAAGAAATGGCGAATTGATATGAATTGACCATAGGAGCCAGTATGAGTATGACTCAGCATTTCGACCTTTTTTTTTCAAATCCAAAGGATGTCGGCCACGGAGGGCCCAGAGTGGATCTCTGGGCATCAAATCATTCGACCTGCCAGGTACAACTTCACGACGCGGCACTGGGCAAAGGCATGGACCATGACTCTTGTATCATATTTTGTGGGGATATTCCCTAAAAAATAGGCCTGCAAAAATAGGCCTTATATATGGTAGGTACCTCCAATTTAGGTTCCTAAAATGGCCATTGATTGTAGGTTTTCCATGATTTTGCCTTGAACCGTCTATGATCGTCTATGTGTTTTTGTGTCCAATACTTTTGAGCCAGCAAAGTTAACCTATTTCAGAGTTTCTTCCAACGGGATTCACGGTCTGAGGTGATTTACACCACAGTCTTTTAAAGCACTAACGAGCGTTTGCCCAGACAACTATCTCACGATCAAAGTGATACTTCATGCAAGAGCTTGCAGAAATCAAAAGAAAGCAGTTCAGCTGATGCAAGCCTATTCACATGTGTGGATGGATATATAAGATCAAGAGTCCACTCCGGGTCAAAGCACCCTTCAAAGTGGCGTCTATGCATTTTCCTCATGTCGCCTCATCTATATACCTTCATCTTCTTTTGGGTGTCCGAAAAAAGTGACTGCCCACCAGCACGAATGATTCGAATGATTCATGTGTGTTCCCAGCGACAGGTTGGCACCATGTCCGTGCAGCCTTCTGCTCGAACCTTCCACAAGACCGTAGTCCATGAGGCTGACGGGATGAGCCATCCTGGATGGCTTTGGTTTCCCACAAGGGGTCTTGACCCTCTAAATCCGCTGGTTTCTCATCATTTTCCTGTAAAAATGGCGAAAAAAATGGGGGACATACATTTCCCTCTGTATACAGAACATATTCCGACACATTGATGTGATGAGTTCCGTTCTGATGATGCCTAAAACAGCCTACCATGCAACAAATAAGAACAATGTTGAATTAATCTGTGAGCAATGGTGTGTGTGGGCGACGCAATATGGAGATGTTTCATGAACCGGTGGGACATGGAAACATGCGACCTTCAAATGAACGTCCGAAGACCCTAGCTATCTCTTGAGTCTTCTGGGATAAACACTGTCACTTTTTGTTGACAGCGGCACACTGCAACCCCGAAAGCAGAATGGTCAGCTTGCGGAATGGCTTCCCAATTCTTCTAATTCATCTATGTGTAAATTCAAAATAACACTGGGGACAACCATGCCCAATAAGAAATTGATATTTTGATCTTTGATATGCATGTAGAATATAAGTAACATAATGTATGCATGTAAAATACCATATATATATATAACCTATATATATATACATACACATAGGGGTATGTAACTATCTTCCGAGTTCTGGTGCCTTGGGAATCTAAAGGGAAAGCACGGTTCTGTGTTCTCTTTGTGGAGCACAGGGCTACATGTACATCCTTGGTGGATTTGATGGTCGTCGCCTCAATGACATGTCCGGCTCCTGGATGGGGCGTTCCTTAGCGCCGAGATGGGGAAAAAACGACAAGGACAAGCGACTTTTGGGGAGACCCTGCAAGGTGGTGACCCCCCAGTGATGTGAACGTTGGTTTATTATCCCCATTAACTAGTTTGATATAACCCCCTAATCAAACCCAACAGTTATTGGACTTATTGGCACTAACTTAGCAAACGAACTGGGGCACCACCTTGTAAGGACAAGCTACTCCTTGCTTTACGGCGAGTAGTTTCTTTCGAGCTCTACAGATGTGGGAATCCACCATTTTTACCACCAGCCACCATTCAATAGGCTGTTTTTGGTAGGACCTTTTCCGTTGGTTTGGGAGTTCCCAATCTGGGAAAAACACAACCTGTTTGCAAATTCATCTCAATGGGATCCATTTTGTCGGGTGTTCATGGTTCCGACATGCCCAAGGGGGGGAAGTATGCTGAATCTTCTGGTGATGATTCTGCTTGTTACTTTGGCTTTCGATACTGAAAATATGGGAGCGATACCTAAAATCGGGGACTCCAAAACCATTTGTTTCCCCATGAAGAACATGACGCTCTTTTGAAATTTTGCTTGGGGTACCATATCAATGCTGACCATTTCCGATTTTTCTGCACAACTTGAGACTTGATCAACACCTGATAGCTGTGGCACCGCCATAAGATCAACCTCGTTTTCCCAACAGTTCTGTTCTATCAATCTCCTGGCTCCAAGTCAGTACTCAAAGCTGCCCAATTGTTCCATTTTCAGGGTTTAGGGTACCCACACATGTGGTTGGATCAGAATCATCAGAACTTTATATATTTTTTGAATCATCAGAATCATCGAATCATCAGAATCATCAGAATCATCAGAATCATCAGAACTTTATATTTTTTGTTCACAGTGGTTGTGCTTCCGGGGCCCGGGTCAGACCGGTCACGATTTTTTTCGCCACAGCTTTCGATTCGACGGAGGTATCGCATCCTCCTGCGGAACAAATCCGACTTGGAGCGCTGTCACAAGCAGCTGGCCGATCAGGTGGGAGACCGTAGGTTGGGATACTTGGGGGTCCCAGGAATGGGAAGTGGTTAATAACCCATGTATGTTATATATGTATATATATATGATCCCGTCTTCCGACCGCGAGGTCCCCCCCCCCAATGGTATGGGTCCCCAGGTAGCACCCCGTTCCCTTCTATTTCTCCAGCCTCGTATTTGCTAGGTTTTTGCAGCGATTCTGACTACCAGCCTCGCATTTACTAGGTACATGCTACCTTTTAGACGACCTAAGTAGCACACATACTCCCTCAAAGTACCTACGTGCTATCTATAGTTATATATACATGTGCTATGTATCTACTTCAAATATATATGTATATATATATATACATACATACATATATATATACATACATATTATATATATATATACATACACATACATATTTACACACATATATATATATATACATATTTATATACATATATATTATATACATATCTATATAATATACATATACATATACATATATATATATAACCACACCCCCACCACACCACAGGGACAGTACCACACCCCCACCACACCACAGGGGGGGAGGGGGACAGTACCACACCCCCACCACACCACAGGGGCGGGAGGGGCTAACTGCTACAACAACAACAACTACTACTACTACCACTACTACCACTACTACCACTACTACCACTACTACCTACTACCACTACTACCACTACTACCACTGCTACTACTGCTACTACTGCTACTACTGCTACTACTGCTACTACTGCTACTACTGCTACTACTGCTACTACTGCTACTACTACTACTCCTACTACTCCTACTACTCCTACTACTACTACTACTACCACCACCACCACCACCACTACCACTACCACTACCACTACCACTACCACTACCACTACCACTACCACTACCACCCCTACCCCCCCCAACAGGGGGGGCGGGGAAGATAGCTCCTGTATACCCATTGATAACTGATAATCATCATGTCATATCATGTCCAACTATTTCTAAGCGTAATTTCTTAGTATCGAGCGGAACTTATCAACCCGCCAATCAAAAATGGCAATGGAAAATCGATGAACATCGCCAGTCTTCAAACTCAGCATGATCTATGGGATTTTCATCAAATTTCATGGTCTTCCAACTGAAGCCAGCTGGATTTTTCCCCAGAGATCTCCGTCTTCCATGAACGAACCGCGACTTGTGCAGGTTTCCAGCCCTCCCGTGCCCACTGGCGCTTATGCCGACGGCCTGGGGGGTGAGTACTGGGGATCCAGTTCGAAAGTGATGGAACCATGGGGAAACATCCCCAAAGGTTGGAAGATAAACATAATTTTAAAAGGGAAAATGTCTAGAAACGAAACACATCACTTCTTGAAGATTTGGGATGATTCATGTAGCAGCATATCTGACAGCCACAAAATAGTATCACAATTTTTGAGACACATGCATATATGGTTATTCAACTCCATCATAGTCATATCTCATGAATCCAATGACAATAATATTTGCTGTAGATATAGCCCGCAAACTATTTGTTACCTTCACAGATAATCTAAAAATTACCCACTTTTAAATGACGTGGATTTTTCATTGACAATCTTCCTTTTCACCGAAATGGCATTTGTTTGGTGGAGAATGAGGTTTTGAACCACTGGATTTTGGGGCACCCCCCATGGTGTTTTCCCTTGTACTCTCCCATCCATTCTCCAAAATATGAGAAAGCATCTGGATTATTTGATTATTACTATTATTGTTACTATTATCATTATCAAATTCTTATTGTCATTATTATTGTTGTTATTGTTACCCTCTGGTTATTTAACATAGCCATGGAAAATTGCCCATTTATATATAGGTAGATGGTTTACCTATCAAAAATGGGTGGATTTTCCATGGCTATGTTAGTTCACCAGAGGGTAGCACCAATTATAGCCATTTAATAGGGATAATGATCATTAACCATTGGGTTTAGGGGTACACTATTTTCAGACACACCCATAAACCATGGAAAATCACCATTTATAGTGGTTAAATCACCATTTTCCTATGGTTTTTATAGTAGAATCACCCTAAAATCACCATAAATTCCCCCATGTTTTTTGTTTCACATATTTTCTTCATCATGCCAGGTGGAACCGCCAGCACCGGAGCTGTAGGAGATGCACAGGCCACCACGGTAGAACGACGTGCACGTTGGGAGCACGGGGGATTCCCAAAATGGGCCAAGATTTCTGGCTCAGTTTTCATCATTTTTGCCTCGATTTATCTATAATATATATATACACATAATATTAAATATTATATATCATACATCATATATTTATAGTTGGAGAATTCAGCCGGCAATTTTTGATGGCCCTTTCTACGACATGAGGTTTTAAAAACATGGGATGAATTGTGGGGGTTCCACAGAAATTGATGGGTACTATTTTGCATGCAGGATCAATATATGTGTTGTAAACGTGTATCTGCATGACTACAGACCTCTGAGATTTCTGTATACATTCCGGTAGTCAAACATGGCTTGCTGGAAAATCCCCCCAAAATAAGTTGGTTGATTTTCCCAGCTCAAAAAACCTCCGTTTTATTTTTGGATTTCCAGCTTGCCATGGTTTGGTTACCCACAATACTCACTTTTGATCCCCTATTAGTTACCCTCTGGTAAACATACAAAAAACTATGGAAAATCATCATTTTTAATGGGAAAACTCACTATTTCTATGGCAATTTTCAATAGCAAACTGTTAGTTTACCGGAGGGTATATCCCATTTCGCACCCATTGACAATTTTTGATGATTAAATCACCATTGTACCAACCAAGGGTATGTGGCTTTGTCTGAAAATAGTGTAGCCCTAAATTTATTGCCTAATCATCATTTCTTTCTATCTCAATAGCCAACCTTATGGGGGTAAACCCAATTTCAAAACGAAACAATGTAGACGTGCACAGTATCCACAGCTTGAGACAGGATGCAGCGCAAACCTTGATGCCAGAGGATCTCTGGTGTTTGGGGTGCCCGATTTCGTCCAAGCTGTGGAAGTCGGTCCGGGACGACCTTGCTGGATGATGCAGGATACAGGACGATATACTGAACGATATAGCAGATGGTATCCCGGATGATACTGGATGTTTTTTTCAGTTGTCAAACTTTTTCTCACAATCTCTTTAGCAGCTAATTTAGCATGTTGGTGGAGTCCTACCATCCGACCCAACGGTGTTTAACCAACTGGGTTGAACCCAGGTTGGACCCGCATTGATGACCAGCAGGGACAGGCCCAGTTGCCCAGTTTTTTTGCGCTGTTTGACGGTTGCAGCGATCAGATCGGGACCGGGGGGACCGGGGGGACCGGGGATCTGCAGGTATACACACCCAGAACTGGACATGCTGTGGTGGTCTGGAATCACTGCTTCTACTTGATGGGAGGCCTGCCTGGGTTGAAGGAGAAAGATTGGAGCATTGTGTTGTCTCTAGTCATTTAGAGCCTCTGGTGTCTCAATTCCAGAAGTGGAATCTTGATGACCTAGCTTTGAGGCATCCTCATGCAACTGACCAAGATCGTGCCTCTGCAGGTAGTTTGATGGTGGACAATGTAAATTCAAAATGCTGGGGGTTCATCACGTTTGTGGACCATGTGTTTGGTAACATCTGTCCGTAGGGCCGCTCGCACAGTCGCTGGCTGAAGTCATGTGAGACACGGCAAGTGGTTATGCCTACCCAGACTTTGGAACCAGCAAAACTACGCAACATTTTGTCTTCACATATCTTCATGTACAATACATATATATATATGTATATATATATATATTAATGATTGTATATGTATGTATGGATACTGTATGGCAATATGTATAATATATACATATAGATGTAGCCTTTGAAGCCCATTCTTCTTTTTTTCGGGTCAAACCAAATATCACCACGGTTTGCCATAGCAACCCAGCCTTGCAGCTCCTTTCTGCTCTCGAGGGTTACCAAAGCGTAGCTGGGTTTACAACTGAGATTGCCCACAGTTGCAGTTGGGTTTTCTATGTTTCTTTGACTAAATTGACAAAATCCAACTACTTGATGATTCATGCTCTCTAAAATTGGCTATCGTCAGTGGGTTGATTAATATTGATATGAAACATGGGAAAACACAGCCGAAATCAGCATATGGGATCGATGAGCCAACTGGGTCATGGGTCATGCTCCCGGAGGACTTGGGACGTTGCGGTTGTGCGTTTTGGGCGCATGGTTTTGGGTTCCCTGGAAGGACTTCAAAACCAATAAAATCCATGAAATATGATGTTTGATTCACAGGCAGCACGCCATTTCATGTTCTTTTCAGGTTCCTGAACGATGATCATCCAGCCAGAGGGATTGCCGGGTTGTTAATATCCATCCAATTTTATTTCTTGGGGGTTCCTTGAGTTTTCATCCAATGCCAGGAGAGGGACATTTTCTTCAGAATCTGTCAGGAAGGGAACTCGAACTTCCGCAGCTTCTTTCACTTAGGGAGGAGCCTTGCAGTAGTTGGTGAGACAAGTCGGAGTTTCCGTCATCCTTTAAGCTTCTATGTGATGACATGTCTTTGCCCGGAAACGGGGATTAACTTCCACGTTTATGAGACGATGAACCATGTGATTTTGAAGGGTTTTCTCCTTTGGGACAAATAGCCCAAGTCGATTATAGATCTTATACATCCATATCATATCATATCCCTGGTTCTCAATCATCTTTTTCACTATGAAAATAGCCATCTAGTAAGCCCGAAACAGATCGAAACGGCTTTCCAGGATGGTAGTTCGATGATGTTTTCTCCATGATTTCCAGGTTTCCAACTTTTTAAACATAAATTTTGATGTGTTTTGATGTTGTGATTTTCATGGATAGATCTGGTGATCCCAAAGTCCCTTAAATTCTCAGCGATCTCATCCGTGCCATGGATGGCTGGTCGCTGCCGCATGTGGAGATGGGCCCCAAACATGGTGAGGTGCCGACGGTGCCGACGATGAGATTTTCACCGGGGGAAAAGTTTCACCGGGGATATCTGGTACTTTGACAGTAAAAAATCGCCATGTGAACAATAGGGCAATCATTATATATATATATATCTATCTATCTAATCTACTAATCTACTAATCTACTAATCTATCTATCTATCTATCTATCTATCTCTCTATCTATCTATCTATCTATATATATATATACTGTATATATATTCACATTTTTTCCATAGCTATGTTGGTTAACCAGAAGGTATACAATACAAATGATGATCATGACCTATAAAGACCTGTATCATCCTATGTCTATAATGAACTGATAATATTGATATTGATACATGTTTAATATTGACTGATGGTTTTGATATTGATATTGATAGTATCTTTAACTGATCATGGTTCATAAAATGTAGATATAGTAAGCAGTTCCATTCAAATCATATACATAAACCAGAAATTTCCCGTTGTTGGCCAAAGGGTTTTCCATACGTACCTATATCAAAGGAGGTTGACAATTCTTGTCTTCGAATCGCAGGTTTGATCACAAAGATCAAATATAAGTAGGATATCAGATGTTCTGGCATGCAAGTTTTCACCCATACCATACCCATCGTGTTGATGCCGCCACGTTCCCTCTTATTGAATGGTGGCCAAATATCACCATGGTTCTCCTGTTGGGGAATCCCATGATCACAGAAAATCTTATGCCTTAGCAAAAAAAACCCATGAGAACCCCATGAGAATCCCATCAGAATTCCACCAAGTCCCACAAAAACCAGCAAAAATCCGACAACACATCCCCCGAAATCACCCAAACCAACAAGAAACAATCAGAAATCATCAACAAAAACCATGATAATCGAAAAAATCCCTGCAACAAAACCAGCTTTTTCGTTGCCAGGCCCTCCCTTCCGGCCTGCGCTACGTGGCCGAGTTCATCTCGCCGACGGAGGAAGAGGAAGTGCTGCAGGCGGTGAATGCACGAGCCTGGCTGGACAACTTGATTCGAGGTGGGGATGGAACCCCTACAGGATGGTGCCCCCCAGTTATAAGTTGGTTTATAAACCCCATTAACTATAGTTATATCTACCATAAACCATAGTTATGGGAGTTATGTTCACCAACTTAGCTAACGAACTGGGGCACCACCCCTATTTGAGCCCTATTTGGGGAGTCACAACATGAGGATTTCGCCACAAAAAATGGAGAAAAATGGGCGATAAATCACCAACATGAGGAGTTCACCAGCATGGTGATATAAACAAGGCAAATGGTGATTTTTCACCAACAACAATGTTGATAATTATACTGGAGTTTAATTGGAACGTACGGGAGATTCAACCATTATTGGAATATACTGTAATTAATGGGGATATAAAGAGGAGATAATTGGATTTAAGTTGAAGTGTTTGTTGGGAAAACCCTGGATTTTCATAACCCGCTGGTTTAATGAGGGATACCGATTTGAATCTGATTCGCATTTTTGAGATTCCCCTAATGAAGTTGCGGTGGATAGGTGATCCTGGGGCGACACCTATCCAAGAAGTCCAACTGCCACAATCTTCAAGAGTCTTCCATCCTTTCTTCCGGGAAATGGTGGGTTGGATCTTTATAAAATTGTTGATGAATGAAGCATCAATTCCATGATTTTCACTCTCAAAATCGAAGCAGAATACGTCGATGAAACCTCGTCAGCAAAACAGATTGCTGCGGTCAAAATCTCCACATCTTTTCTGAATTTGACCAAAACAAATCTCAGGCCAGCAGTTCTTCGGCTTGGTGTACTACCAGACGACCCACGACCTGGTGGCCCTTCAGCCGGAGGACAAAAAACTGCAGGAAGGGCGACCACTGGAGGAGTTGCCCTCGTGGCTGCTTCCCAGGTTGGTACAAACCGGCGTCTTTCAGGAGGAGGAGATCAACCAGGTGAGGATGACCGGGATGACCCGACCACCCTGGGGATTTTTTTGGGGGGTATTCTACCCTTTGGGAATCAAACATGGCAATGGGAAATCCCATATAAATGGACATTTAACTGGGAGAATTATCTATAAATGGGGGATTTTCCACTGCTATGTCTGATTCCTACAGGGTAATCCAGGGTATGCACTTGCCACATGTTCAGCACGTGGCACATGTTTCAAATATATGCCCGTGTAAAAATATGGATCGCTGACTATTTTGGCCAGTCCAGGAGTATGGAGATATGAGAATATCATGAGAACATCATGGGGATATACTGTAAACGCCAGGAACAAATTCGGGATTAACCAACAAATAATGGGGGTTGGGTAGTTGAATATATTGATTGGCCAGGATATGGGGCGCATACTGACATGCCGACGCCATGAGATGCGGGGTCGATGTTCGTTGAGATGGTACCTCGTTGAGGGTTCGATATTTTGGGGTAGACCTAACCTAATAGGATATGAGTCATATGAGTGATGAGCCATGGAACTGCGGAATTCGGCAATTTTTGGTCAATGGAATTTCAAGGGTTACTAATGTTAGGCAATGGCATAGCCTTTTCGAGTTGAGGACGGTTGTGGATTGATGGATGACTAAGCTGATGCTCTTGGTCGACTGCTCGCAATGGGCAATGTATTCCACTCCATACAATATGCTCGGTTTATGCATGGATTGTGCCCGATTTTTTTTTTTTCGTTCAGTACCAGCAACAAAATGATGTCGGGGTGAAAAGCGACTTGTGCTTTTCTTGGGTTCAGGATTCTTACCCTCTGGTAAACTAACATAGCAATGGAAAATCACCATTTTTAATGGGAAAATCCACTATAAAGGGCCATTTTCAATAGCTATTTTGACATAACCAGAGGGTACCTTCACTATCAAATGGTCCATTACCATGGTGAATGCTGGGTGATAGTTACCTCGCAGCCAGACCTGTACTGCTGGGGTAAAAAACCGGTTATACCTCAAGTCACCGTAACCGTAGGTTGGTAGCCCCAGGCCCCTTGGAATCCTTGGATCAGCTGAAGATCCCTTGCCGCCAGGTGGCGGCCAACAGATATACTGGCACCACTGGCATCGCAGCACATGTCGAAGATCCGGTGTCGTTTGGCACCGCGGAGAAATGGCTGCGGCTGTGGTGCGGATCCAAAAGATGGGTGGTTTTGAGCATGAACCTTATCAAAGCTTGGGGTTTGAGATAAGTTTGAGCCCTACATCACTTGTCTTGGCAGTGGCCATTGACCTTCAAAGAAATGCCTTGGAAGATGTTGTCTTCCTTATCCTGGGGCCTCGATCCACTTATTCTCTGGTGGTGAGGGGGTGATGACAAATGCTGCTGAAGCTTTCCCCCCTTGTCTTGTGGTCATGGTTCTAAGGCTGCTGTTTTCAAATCCTCTAGAGATGCACCATCTCTGATCTTGGACGTGGCTTTGCTATACCAGTACTGATACCAATACTAATTTACTCATACTACTTCAAATACTGATACTAAGACCACACCATAGAAAAGTATTTGGTTGGTCTTAGATGATAAGCCACTGAAATTGAAAAGTATTTGGTCATATCCTGGTACCCTCTGGTAAACTAACATAGCTATTGAAAATGGCCATAGAAATAGTGGATTTTCCCATGAAAAATGGTGATTTTCCATAGCTATGTCAGCCATAACCAGAGGCTAATTACCATAGAAAAAAGCGGCTGGCCAGGATCATTAGCCGCATCCCAGGCCCCAACCTGGCCACGCTGTCCCTGCTGGCACCAGTGCAACTCACCTTGTCCCTGGCCACCGAAGTGAAGAATTCCAGGGATCGCCCTGGGGATGGAGCCCTGGCATAAGCCCTGCCAAGCGCCGGCTTGGCGACGGTTGTTGGATGTAGAATCAACAAGCGTCATTTTAGATGCTGGGGTTTAACAAGAAATGGATTAGATTCACCTATGAATGGTGTTTTCTTTTTTGGTCATTCATTGAGTTCGGGATTTACATGCCCATTGTGTTTGAATTCTCATGGCTAGGATGGATGACAACTGCCCATAGACCTTGTTTTGACCATGGCGAATCATGGAAATGGGTTGGCTTGTCACTGGATGATCTCAACGAAGGCTGGGGAGTTAACCATGAAAACTATGGTTGAATAGGTAAACCATGTCATGGTGAATTGTCCAATCATCTGGGGCTTTTCACCAGCAACATGTGGAGAGGCTACACCGTCCACAGAAAATGAGGAACCGGCAATATAATGTAGCGTAACCCATCCCCATTCGATGATTTTGATGGTTGGGCTCCATCTGCAGCCAACGTTTTGTGAACATCGGACGTCAAAGAAAATGGGGGTTTTGGGCAGTCCAAACTGGGGATTCATCAAACATACTCAAACGGAGGATCTCCATCAACTATGGGGACTTAAACATGCAAAAATTGGAAAAAGTCCCCCACCAGAATTGCGTATTGAAACGATCACACACTGGGATGTTTTTCGACAACATTGGAGTTTTCACATGTTTTCACCAGCACCACATGGTATTCCACCCATCGGAATGCGTGAGGATCCTCGGCAAAACCAAGAATAGTGAATATATAGTGGATAATAAGTGGCATCTACCGGGTAAAGCCACTCGTTGGGTCAGATGACCCTCGATTTGACTTTCAGATTTGAAGATTTTCTCAAGGACCCCACTTGACTCGCAGACCAACCTCTCCCAGAAATGGTCGATGGGAACATTTGCGGTTGACACCCCTCTATTTGTTTGGGGGTACCCCTAAAAATCCCTAAAATAGCTATGGAACATGGCGCATTTCTAGTTGATTTACCTAGGACGCGATGGTGGTTTTCGAAATCGCTGTTAGTTTACCAGGCCGGGCTAGTGGTTCACCAAAGTTCACCATGGTTTTTGTTGCGCATTCCCCAGCCCATTTTTCACCCCAGGAGTTGACCATGGAAATTGGGTGAAGATTTTGCTGGAGCCTAGGAGCCTGTTGGTCTTGCAAGGCCCGAAATCTTCGGTTTTTGGGGCCAGGTGAAACCACGGATTTTACACCATTGCTATGAGTATGAGCTGTATGAACCATCCATTTTCGAGGGCTTTTTTTGGTTGGGCACCCAGATTTGATAGATATCCAAATCCAGGTTCCCAGCGTTCTTTCAGGAGTCTAGAATCCCTCAGATGCATGCCTGGTTGATGTTGGTTCCACGAAAAAAATGAACGAAATATACAGGGACCGCGCGGATGTACTGGGATTCTGCAGATTCCTGAGACCTGAAAGATCATTTTTTCCAACATATTCCTATGGCAACCTTGACTCATACCGTATGAATTGTTGGTGTAAGTAAGGCAGTAAGGCAATCACACAGCTAGTTTTGATGAGAATCCAATCACCGCCTTTGGTGATGTGATCGAATGCATAGCAGGTCGTTTCACATTGAATGGGGCATAGGAAACTGAGCTAAGGGATTGGCACAAGGCTGATCACCACTTGTAGGTGGGGCTTAGCAAAGCCCCGGAGATGGATTTTGCCTGGGAATTTCGGACTGTACCCCCTTCTTGCTGTTCATTTTCCATCCGATCCTTTTGTATTTTGGCTGATGATGAATTCCCATTCTTTGAAACCGCATGATATATTTTTTGGCCGTCTTCCGCATTGTTGGCCGGATATGCACAAACAATGCTGGGAAGGACTATGTGTAATTGCCCCCTTGATTGACTGCTTGCTTGCTTGATTGACTCATCGATCGGTTTTATTTGATCTGATTTGATTACAGTACAGTAATTGATTGATGGATTAATTGAGTGATGTGACGATTACACGAATTGACTGATGAAATTCATTAGCAGTACTAGATAGTGCCCAGCACGCGCCGGGGCAGAAGTTTCGAAAATAGGAAATGACTACAGGAAGAAAAAAACTATAGCAATAGTTTGTGAGCTGGATAGAAAATGAGATGAAGTTTGCAACGACAGAAAGATGGAATGAAATGAAATCACATGGAAGGAAGGAACGAGTGAATGAATCAATGAATGCATGCATGAATGAATGAATGAATGAAGGAATGAAGGAATGAATACAGGTCTATACCAGAATCGTGCCTGAGTTGCCCTCCTTAGCAAGTGGGTCAGCGTGCTATGGTGTGGGTAGCCCCGCAGGGCTCCGCTACCATGATAAAGTCTAGTTTCCTAGATCGAACGCAAGTTCGGAAATCAGAACCTCAAATACCTAAAACGAAGTTTCTCCTTCGACTCCTAAGCACAAGCGCCAGCTTCAATCTTTTGCTCGGACGCACACAGGAGTCAGCATTCACTCATTCACTCATTCACTCAGTCACTCAGTCACTCATTTACTCCTTCGCTCGTTCGCTCATTCGCTCGTTCGCTCACTCATTCACTCCTTCACTCCTTCACTCCTTCACTCCTTCACTCCTTCACTCCTTCACTCCTTCACTCATTCATTCATTCATTCAGTCATTCATTCATTCATTCGTTCATTCATTCATTCATTCGTTCATTCATTCATTCATTCATTCGTTCATTCATTCATTCATTCATTTCATGTCATGTCATGTCATGTCATTTCATTTCATGTAATTTCATTTCATTTCATTTCACTGAATGAATGAATGAAATGAATTACATTAGTGAAAAAAGAAAGAAAACATGAATGACTTGACTGAACGACTGAATGAATCACTGAATGACTGAATGAGCAACTGACTGACTGACTGACTGACCGACTGACTGACTGACTGACTGAATGAAGGAACGAATGAATGAATGAACGAATGACTGTGTGAATGAAAGAATGAATGAAGGAATGAATGAATCAAGGAAGCAGTGAAATAATGAAGGAAGGAATGAATGTGGAAGTCTAAAGTGCAAATCGAGCTCTGGCTACAGTCCTGTGCACTACTTGTGGAAACAGAGGCCCTACTTCGGCGACCCCAGGAGCCACATTACCCGAAAAAACACGGGATCCGTGCCCGAGAGTGTTTTCTTTTCACCCGTGAATTCACACTTGCCCGATCTGTTGCTCCCAGGCGCGACCGGCTCTTGCTCACTATGTTGTTGGCATGATGATGACATGATGATGATGATGATGGTGATGATGATGATGATGATGATGACATGATGATGATGACATGATGGTGGCACGATGACTAGGCTGCCCGTGGACATTCGTCCGTAAGTCGGAAGTTTTCGAATTCAATTTCCTTTGGTTATCCCCACTGATTGACTGGTCGATGGATTGATTGGATTTGATCTTGTGGCCATTGATCAAGCTTAATTGGTTATCCTCATGAATGGCTTTATCAGATCACTCAAGTGATACATTTACTCATTGGTGCCATTCCCGATCGCTTCACCGATAGGCGAAAGTCGTTACGCCTACCGTCATGGCATCCGGCGCTCACGCCTGGTACAGCTGCGGGATGGGACGGAACTGAAGCGAGGCGCTGAGCTGGGGGGGAAAGCTGGGGGGTGGGGGCAGCGGTGGCACCAATTTGCAAAATCCATGGAAAATGGCCCATTTCTAGATGGTTTACCTATTAAAAATGGGTGGATTTTCCATGGCGAACTGTTAAATAACCAGATGGTACTTTTTTTGACAAATGTCTCCATTTTGAGAGACACTTAGATGCGAATGGCTGACATGGGTTGAAACTTACAATTTTCATGGTTAAGACCCGCCAAATTTATCCAAATTTAAGGTTCGAACGAACCACCAAAACGGGGATTGGAAGATGGTTTTCCGCACTTGGGCATGGCCGTTTCGGTGTTCGATGTGAACTTTAAGGTGTAGGAAACTCTTGAACCAGGATTATGACCACTTACTTTCCATTTATAGAGGGGTGGGTTATTTATGGTTTATGTACTGCGCGATAAGGTCCTAAAAATTGCTAAAATCCCCTGCGTCAGGGAGACAATATTATATGTATGTATATTCATATATATATATATATATACATAATTCAAACCAAAACGAACCAGGTCTTTACATGTTTTTATTGGGTAAACCGACTAGCGCATGGTTTGTCAATGCAACCATAGATGGTGGAACCTAAAATCATGGTAACATTTTTTCCAGGATATCCAAGGTTGGCCATGAACATGGGGTACGCACGGGGCAATCATTTGATCATTTTTTGTCTCGAACAGTCCAAGTCTGTGGGTCGTAAATTTCAGTCATAGACATAGTTTAAGTTGTATGGATGCGGGAAAATCACCTTAAAAGGGTATCTTCAATAGGCATAAACACCTGGATCTGAAAGAGTAAAACCATTGATTAAACACTACTAAACGCCCGCAAGAACAAGGTAATTCCAATAGAACAATGGATACACTCACCAACGGAAACCTTTCTGTCCATCAATTTGCATATTATCTCAGGGAAATCCCATTCGAGCGGAAAATGATTCACTTAATGTCAATGATTGCCTTCTTCCTTAGCCTTCACTTGTGGGAGCGCTCACCTTTGCCCATCTGGGAGGTCCTGACTATTGCAGAATTTCTCTCACCTTTCGACATTTGTTGGACACGCGCCGCATGCTTTCCACTGCCGACGAGACCGCAGCCGAGAAGCCGTTGTCGGAGTCGCCGGAGGAGAAAGTGGCGTCAGCAAAGGAAACCACGTCATGAAGGATGGGAGGCTGAAACTTGTTGCCAAATGGGCACTACAATATACTATATTTCCCCAGAGAGCTGTCCAGGATGCGGTGGCGAAGTTTGGGGTGCTGTGCAGGGTGTTGTCCACTATGCCGGTGTAGTTTTTTCATATATACAGTATATACATGCACAAATCCATATGAATAGATATGGATCCAATAATTATCATGATGAGCTGTTTTTCGTTGTTTTTGTATGTGTTTGTTGAAAAGTTGAACTTTGACGGGCCTTCAGATTGGAATCATAGGGTAAAAACGGTTCTTCTTCCGTTATTTTTCAGTAGCAGTCAGTAGCACCCATATTGTCGCAAGCGGGTCTCGTTCTTTTGGAACACTCACTGCTGGATCCTGGACCCTACAGGTTGGATGGTCCAATTGCTTGACGTTCCCTTGATCATGCTGGATGGCTAGCTGTGCCCTACTGCAGTTCGGGATCTTCGACCAATCAAGCCTGGTCGTTGCTGGAGGATTTGTCGGGCTGCAGGACGACTCGCGCATTGAGGTCGGCCTAAGGCCAGCTTTTCTCGACAATCCGAGAAGCTGCCGCTGAAGGCCATGTAGAAGCATGGCTTGTGATACGAGATACGGTGTCGACACAGCTGTGTCTTCAGTTTCGATGTTCAAAATGCCTTATGGTAATCAAACATGGCTTGCTGGACAATCCCCAATTTGTAGATCTTTTTCCCATGAAATGTGCCCATTTGTAGGGGCCATGAAAGAACCCGCCAAGACTAAGCTCTGATGCCGCGGAAAAGAGCTGCCTTTTAGCCTGGCATTGTTGAAGGCATGGGCCTTCATTCCTCAAGTATGTCTAGAATAGCGTGGAGGTCAGAAGTAGAATCCAGATATCCTGTAAAATCGGCACCGTGCTTGTTCCAATCAACCTGAGCATTGGTCAAAAGAATCATTCAGTTTCATTCAGTTTCATTTAGTTTCATTCAGTTTTCATGTATGTGTATATGTATATGTATGAGTATATGTATATTTATATGTAAATGTATATGTAAATGTATATGTATATGTATATGTAAATGTATATGTGTGTATAGATATATATATATATATTACATTTTTAAACAAGGATCAATAGCAACAGCCTTTCCCATCTGGGCCTTGGGCTTTAATTTTCCCTCCACGAGGAGCGGAGCGCGGCTACTCCACACGTCGCTGCACGTGACCCATCCAATCGGTTGCCAGTCCAAATTCAGTGGTTTCTGCTATACAAAGTTACTGTGAATTGAAGTGCGGAAACTCTCTTTGATCTCATATTTCAAGTCAATAGGGACAATCTCATCGTGCCACCACGAAAGATTGTGGCGTCCAAGCTCAATGGCTCAGACATTGCCCCACATTATTTCATCACTTCCTTCTTACATCCCAAACATCAATATCAACAACTATCCCCCGAACAAAACACACAACAAAAACAACAACGAATCCGAACCAACGTGCAGTTTTTGTCGTTGAAACGCCTCATCCTTCGGACCGCGCCGCGGTCGATGCCACGCCGATGACGTGCCATGTGGGGCACGTGGGCGGAGCGCAGCGGATGGCAGGCGCTGGTGACACCCATCGAGCGGATCGTGGATCTTGAGCGCTTTGGCGCGGCCTTGCTGATCACCTCAGAATGTGCCACGGCCATGGCGGCGTTTTATGGGTGTTTTGAAAAGTGGCCCTATATGACTTAAGATGGTTAAGTTCTGGGGAAGGTTTGAAAGCTTTTGGATTTTGGCTTCAATGTGTGCGGGGTTGAACCTAGAGGCATGGGTCAAATGTAGAAAGACAGCGATGATTCACCATTTTGATAGGGAGAATGATGGTAAAAGAACCGATTGAGAGGGTGGTTCTCCGGAAAGAGGAAGTTACCCCCAAAGCGTGGGATTCCGAAGCCTAAAAAGGACTTAAATGTGAAGGTGGTACCTTTTTTTTGGGTCGTCCTCAAATTTAGGAAACACCACCAATTCAGTCCATTTCCAGTGGCTAAACAGATCCATTACATGCCACCAAACCGGGGTTAGATTCAGGTGATGGATGATGGTAGGTTAAGTCACGAAACTTGGGATGTACTAGCAAACAAAAGGATACGGATCAGGCTGGTTGTTTGAGGGTTGAGCCTCTAGGGTTGTGCTGCCAGGCTTCAGTATTGCAACCCAACAGTCCATAGGTTTGAGCAAGTGTTGAAACTGCAAAAGGAGCCGGAATTTCCAGAGAAGTCATGATCCCAAAGAGGGAGTTTCCAGTTGGCCATATTAGATACCCGGTGAAGCAAAAAATCTGTGCCCCTTGCCCTTGAGTTGCTGGGAATTTTTGGGGCTCTAGAATTGGGCTTCCTTCTTGTGGGAAGGGTTCACGTTCCATTGTCGAAGTTCCAGTGCAATGAAATGTGTTGAAACCTTGGTCTTGCTTTGCTTGATCTACGTTGTTTTTCAAGTGATGATACCTTCGAAATAATACTGTGAGAACATGAAAGGCTATCACACAATGAAAGATGATCCACATCTTTGCTAATAGCTGCTGAAAACGCTCAATGACGCAAAAGTGTGCCCAAGTTGCCGCAAAGATGATTACGTGAGTCTCCAATGTTTGGACGGGCGGTCCAAGCGGCCATTCGATTTTGAAAGCGAGTTTTTTGTCGCTTTGAGCCAAGGAAATCTTCACAAAACAAAGCCACAGAAGGCCAGCCTCGCCTGCCCTGATTTCCATCTGTATTTTCCCTCCTTCCCTCCTTCCCTCCCTCCCTCCGCCCCTCCCTCCCTCTCTGTCTTTTCTTTTCTTTTCTTTTCTTTCCGTTTTTCTTGCTTATTTTCTTCTCTTTCTTTTTCCAATTGAATGCTCTCTTTCCCTTCATTTCTTTCTTCCTTCCTTCCTTCCTTTCTTCCTTTCTTTCTATTCCTCCTCCATCTTAGCGCACCGCATCACTTTCAACTCTTTTCTTCTCAGCAACCAAAATAGTTTACCGTGGGTTCGGGCTTTATCATTTGAACGTTGCACCACGCAATCAACCACTCAAAAGTTGCCCAGCCTGTCATTCAATCAGCAAGCCGGCCAAGCAAGCAAGCTGTCAAGCAACCAAGCAATCAACCAACCGGCCAACTAACCAAACAGTGAATCAGCCAAACAACGCGCGCCCAAACAAAGAATAGCAGACTCATTCATTCAATCACCCAGCCAACCAAACAGATTCAAATAGTTTAAAGCATCATGCCCGCAAATTCTTGCGAGCCTATCGTTTCATTCTTGCAATGGTGGCCAGCTTGGGCTTGATAGGGTGGCATTGCTGCCAGGCGATGGGGCTGCCTGGCAACCCGGTGGGCCGTTTGAAGATGGGCCGACGCTTGGACCGAATTTCATGCCAACATCCCATCCGTTGATGTGGCTGTGCCTTGTTCACCTGCAGCTTGTATTTGCCTTATTGGGGACTTTGCTGTTGAACCGTATGTGGCCAAAAGACCATCAGGGAAATTGACAAACGTTTTGAAATTCGAAAGCCGCAAGTATTTCGATGATTTCGATGTATGGCATATTTGCACTGTAGATATTGCAAAACAGGATCGTAACTCAGGTTTTTGGCACGTGCTATTGGAATTCGAAAAGATGACGCGCCCAAACTTTCGATTTGATCCTTTTTAAATCCAATGTTGCCAAGTCAGTAGTTGCATGTATTTGAGAGCGCAAATCCATCCAACATTGTACGAACTCCCCCAGTTTTTGCGTGTCCAATGTCTTTAGTGGGATGATCCCGAAAGAATTGATCCCCGTGCCATGGTGCCAACAGTCACTTGTTGAGGTGAACTATTCGTCAATGTTTAAACAAGGGCCCCTTCAACAATTATGGATTTGAACATTCGGATATTTTTTGCTTTGTGTTCCCACTTTCCGGACTTGCATTCAACATTGCAGTGAAAACGGTTATTCAGAATTCACGTTTTATGTGATTCGGATGGAGATGGAAAATGACCCATAAATGAACGGATTGTTGAGGGGTCGAGTCAGACAAAGCCTGCCCCAAATCGCCGTGGCAGAACGCCTCCGCCAGGAAGTTGTTGCTCCCCGGAGGAAAATATAGTGTGCGCAGTCGAAGAAGATACCGGGAACAATCGATGCTGGCCATCGATATGATGTCCAAGGCACTAATGCAAGCGGGAATTTCACCAGATGCTGGGATGCAAACTATTCTCTTTGGAACATGCGCGTCATCACATTCCTTGTTGCTGTCATTGTGTTTGTAGCGTTGCGGCAGTCCCGTTGTGCCTCACTTTTCCCCTGGGTTCATCGAGTATTATCACTTCAAGCTATGGTAAACTTAGGGCCCACGGCAGGATTTGCGCCCGCTCCCAGGATTGCATCGTGCATTTGGATTGCCAGGACCAAGGGGCCCATCCAATGATGGTGGCGTGGGCCATCCGTCGATGGTGGACCACTCAATTCGGTGTTGTCAACATGGGAATACACATGGGAATTTTGGGGGTTTATCTGATAACAATATGGAGGTGTCCATAAAATGGGGGTAGCCCAATAGCTGGATGCTTGAATTGGAACAAATTAGAATAGAATGGTGGATTTTTAGGGGTGCCCCCATTTCAGGAAGCCGCCATACTACCATTTTCGGATACGTTCCAATAGACATGGGAGTTTGGGGGTTTACCGTTTCCCCCGTTTTGAACAAATCCAGATGAGGAATAAAGCCAGTACACAGTCACAACCTGAGAGTTCCGATGTCGCAAGTTTCCATAACTTTTGCAGTACCTCATCCAAGCCGGATTCCCAAGAACACTTTTCCTTCACGTCTTGAATCATAGTTTATTCCGAAGGAGATTGCATCATTGAACCAGCCCTCTGGATGGAAATCCGGCGAAAAAGTAACGGCTCGCACCAGGACGGTTTGGCGGCATACAAAGATCCAGTGACTGAGATCCACAAATTCATCCGCGAAACTTGGCCAGGAACTGCTTGGCGGTAGGATGTTGGTATTTTGCATGCTACCTGTAACCACCAGCTTTCTGTATTTAGGACCATGGATCACAGTGGCAAAATCTCCAGGTTTTTGCCCACTTGGTTGGTCACCATTGGTTTTTGGGGAAAGTTCACCATACATACCGTAAAACCAATCCCCTCAGGAAATCAGAAACCGTTTCAAATTTACTCTCAGCATCCAATATATATGCATTGCCCCATATTTTCCTTTTCAATTTTCCCTTAGAAAAAAACATCCGTTGTGAATCCATGCCAATTGCCCTTTTCAAAGCCACGGTACAAGGTGGGGCCCCGTAGATAGCGTTCAGTTGGTTGATAGCTCCAATAATTATGGTATATATTATGGTATATATTATTGGTACAATAATTATGGTTAGTATATATTATGGTATACACTAGATATACCTCTAGTTCAAGTAGTTCAAGGGGGGTTTACAAGCCACTATCCGCTATGTTTAGTGGCCCTTAACTAAGGGGTCCCCACAGGAAACGTTGAACCCCGTGACGCGATGTCGTGATTGTCTCATCTACTACTTCGGCTTCGCCATCGAGTCGGGCCAATGGGCTCTGACCTGGACGAACGACCAGGGCTATTCCAAGGTGACGTGGCAGTTTTCAACAAGGGATTAGCCAAGGGGACATTCCAACATGGTAAATATATGTGTATATATATATTTATAGATTACATGCACAAAGTACTACAGGGAATATAACCAATATGTATATGTATATATATATAAATACATATAGACCGGGTATAATTTTTTTTAAAACCTATATTTAGACTGCCATCATCTTCCTGTTAGCCCAAATTCATCAGGTAGAATCAAGCATCCTGGTTACCTATCTCAAGGGCAAGTGGAAGGCTTGGGACAGGTATGTAACCAATGTATCCGATTGGTGATTGGTGCTTTCAACCAGTTGCATTTGTCCAAACCCATATATTTGTGACTGATGATGGTGATGATGGTGATGATGGTGATGATGGTGATGATGATGGTGATGAAGAGGAGGAGGACGACGACGACGACGATGATGATGATGATGACGATGATGATGATGCTGCCAAAGTGACTCACATTTTTTGGGTTGACACCACCAACTAGTAACTAGGTACAGGTTTTGGATACTGAAATCCCCCAATGTCCAAAGCAGCAACAGTTAGACAAGTGACAGCTACGAGGGCAGTGCCGAGGAGTAAGGATGTTGGAAAAGCGGATGTCTTCCTTCGCTGGTGTTTAAGATGAGAGTATCTTGTGTCAACGAATTGCTGAACCATGTGCATGTTGCAGCTTAGTTTTTCACTGGGGTAGCATTTGGATTTGTCTTGTGGGATTTACCCTCAAATGGCAACTTTTTGCAGGGACAATTGAAAATTACGATTCACCATGAAATTTTGTGGTTTCTCCGATTTGTTTCAGGTATGCCATATCTATCAGACTTCCTCCCAAGGTCTGCATTTTGGATCCGAACATCATCCTTCCACCCCCTGGACCTGATGATGGAGTGCCAGGCATGACACCGTTGAACAAGATTTAGCCTTTTTGAGGCGGCTGGTGGTTTCGAACATGTTTCATGTTCAGACATCTCGAACATGGCTAGCTGGGTGTTTTCCCCTATAAATGGGCGTTTGAATGGGAAAAATCAGCGAACTACGGGAACTACCATCTATATAGCAATTGAACAGTTTGGCATGGAACATATTTGTACATGTTGTTTGCCAAATTATCTACTCTCATGGGTAATTTTCCATGGCGAACTGTTGAATTATCGGTCGACTCTCATCCTTTTTGAATGGATGACGACCTGATGCTTGGACTTGCTAGCCATGATCATCAACAGAACTTGTTGTGATGCAGTACAATTCCAACCTGAATCATTGTTGCTTATACAGGCCCTCAATTTTCTTGGTGAATCCTGATTCTTGCATGTGAGCCACCATTTTGTGGGTGACGTCAGTGAAATCGCTCAAGTCGGCTTTTTTTTGGTGAAGTGAGCAGCAGTCAAACGGGGCGTACCCCGTTTGTCAACAAAAAACTATTTTCTTTTCAAAACGATGTACGAACACCCCGTTTAAACGAGGTAGGCATTTCACGTGCAGCATTTAGCCATGCGAACCCCATACGGTACTGGAATGGAGAACGAGGTAGGAACACCACGGCGATAACATGAAGTACCAAATCTATAATTGCAAATATGATAATATAGATATTTTCAAAAACCTATGCATACAATTGTATACATATAAATAATATAATATAATATAATATAATATAATAAAATAAAATATAATATAATATAATACAATATATATATAATATAATATAATATAATATAATACAATAAAATATAATATAATATAATATAATTATAATTATAATTATAATACAATATAATATTATAATCATAATTATAATATAATATAATATAATATAGTATAATATAAAATAATATAGTATAATATAATATAATATAATATAATATAATATAATATAATATAATATAATATATATATAATATAATATATAATATAATATAATATAATATATATAATATAATATATAATATATAATATATAATATATAATATAATATAATATAATATAGTATAATATAAAATAATATAGTATAATATAATATAATATAATATAATATAATATATATATATATATATATGTGCAACTAATATTAAAATCTCCAAAAGAACCCCTTGAATGTTGGATTTCCATCTCCAACCCTTCCAGGTGCCCGCTTCGTCATCTCGGACGCCCCGGGCACGGCGCGCATGTGGATGCGCCCGGCACGGCGGCTGCGCGGCGTGGCGGCGTGGCAGGGGGAAGCGCTGCCGGGGTCCAACGGTGGGCCACCGATGACGCGCTGGCCACGAGACGATGATCCCGGGATGGGATGGGGTTTTGTTAGATAGATACGTACGTATTTACGTATCTATCTATATCTAATATCTATATCTATATCTATATATCTATATATCTATATATCTATATCTATATCATTATATCTATATATACACACATATCTATGTACATGCATATCTATCGGAAGTACATAGAACATATTACAGTTTTTTCTTGAATCATACCTTGAACGTTCTTGAAACATATGGGTGCATTTCGGGTTTACCACGTGACCAGTTTTTTCTTCCCCCCTTTTTGATCCTTTTTGTATATGTATATAAAAACCCCAAACAAACAGGCGATTGTGGTCCCAGAATCAACAAATCACCAACAAACAATGACTTATTCCCATCAAACAATCACCAACAAACAATCAACAAATCACCAACTTATTCCCAACAAACAAAGAACGGAGATTGGAGTGTCTCGCCCAGCTTGTCCGTTCCCCACTTCCATTCCGTTGGGATTCAGTTTGAACTTAAGGGAGAGGGATTGTAACCCTGGTTGTAACGGGCTATGTTGGCTGGAAAAATGGGATTGGATTTTTCAGGGAGAGTGCAAGACTAAAAAAGTGCCCTCGCAACATGAAATGGATGCATTCTGTGTTCAGGCATATGTCACCTTGACTAACTACACATTCTTTGGCAGTGGTTGCCAACTCATTTTGACAATAGTCCTTTGTTTCTACTATCGGTTCCAGCATTGACGCAGCTGTTCTCGACGTGAATGATTTCGAAGTTGTGGTTGACGACGTGGGAAAATGATTTGGATCTTGGCACCCGGTCACCCAATGGCATCCCATTGCTTTTACATCCCCAAGCAATGAACAGGATCACGCCACTTAGTCTTGTGAGAGCCTTTCCCCAACATCCATGGAGTTTGAATTTGCCATCGAAGACGAATCCACACAGCCATGTTTCCCAATGGCCCCATGGCAGCATGCGCTGACCAACAATCGGTGGTTCACCCAGAAATTTGCTCAGGTTGACTGGTTTGATGCCAGAACCGCCCAAGGGTGTCTTAGCTTTCCTGGAGCCTGCGCCGGAAGTGGGGCTAGAGGAGCCGGCCTGGGCAGTGAATCCGGAATTGCACAATGTCCGTTCGATTAGGGCTCCAGGTGGGCACTCAAGTTTGATCAATTTTTTGCTGGTTACTGGTTTAGAACTGCTTTTTAATTTTGTGAACACCTATGATTGGGTTCATCCTGATATTACCCCTTTATCAGTGTTTTATGAAGCCCATATATTTGGATATATTTGGAGGTTTCCTAAAGTTAGGGTACCCCAAATCATCCAACATTAGACCATTTTAGTACTGAAACCCATGGTTTCGGGTACCCCCATTTTAGGACACCTCCACTCCGACCTACCCGCAGAGACGCTGCCGTGCCAAAAATCAGGACCTGCCGTGCCACAAAGATCCTCAGCGAACCGAAAACCGGGAGCGGATTGAACCAACAATCGTGGGGGATAAACCAAGCATTTTATGGGAATGTACCCTCTGGTAAACTAACATAACTATTGAACATGGCCATAGAAATAGTGGATTTTCCCATGAAAAATGGTGGTTTTCCATAGCTATGTTAAATTACCAGAGGGTAATGGATAATTATGATGGGATAATTTTATCGAACCAACCATGTTATGGGATGAACATGATGAACCAACCAACCATTTGAACGATGTACTGGGCGATAATTTTCTGCGTTTTTTCTCGGATTTGATCACGATGACTGCTATTGTTTTCGCATTGGTTGACCAGGGAATCCATACCCCCAAAAAGACAAATCCAAGATGTTTCACTGCGCGATTTTAGCGGCTTGAAATGTGTCAACATGGGGAATATGTAAGCTACTTGTAGTTTTTCGCCAACAGAAAGTGGAATGGCGAATACCGAAGAGTGCCCTTGGTGGGTTGGCCTCTTGGCATATGCATCCTATGCCCAAGAACTGGATCAGAAATGTAGAAAACCCATGGGTTTCCTGCCCATTTTCCCTTCGGAACCTGCTCGAAAAACTCTTTGGGCTGGATCCGCCACTTCTTTGTCGGATCCACCGGATTTTTTCTTGCGAATAGATGTACTCTCTCTCTCTCTCTACATACATAACATAACATAACATAACGTAACATTACATTACATTACATTACATACGGCATATAATAAAAAACATGTTGAGTCATCATGAATAATGGTAAATTGCATGACATCATGTTCTAAATCCCACTGTAAATCACCTTCGATCCCTTTCTCATCGCTTCCCATCTGTTCTGAATCATATTGCATAATCTGAAATATTCTGAAATCATGTCAAATATTCTGAAATCGCCATTTTTTTCCATTTTTCCACATTTTTCCCGCCAGTTTGAAATTCCAAAAATCGTTCACCTCATCCCGAGGCTCTTTTCTGGGGTCCTTCCCCTCCAGATCCGGCGCTCAGTCGCCATCTGCTTTGGGAGCTCACTGAGTTCCTTGGGGCCGAGACGATGCGCGAGCACCGCAGCAAGGGGACTGAGGAGATTTTGATCAAAGGAGGACCACAGAGCCTTGGTTTTTCCTGATTTTGCTGAATTTTCGCCTGGGGTTTTTGCTGAATTTTCTTTGGGGAATTGGATGGGGATGTGGTGTAGTAGCAGCCATTTTTTGGGGATTTTTGTGTGGTACCTGGTAGGTAAGGATGGTGAAGGTCGGTATGACAATTGTTTCGGGGACTGAACGAATAGATAGAGCAGGATGATGAAGTAGATTTTGGATGATTTTGGCACGACAGGAATGCAAGCCAAAAGATATGAGTATGGAAGACGCACAGCTTACATCACATCACATGTGCCATTGAAAGTCGCATCTCCGACGCATCACGGAAAGGCACATGGCGAACAAATACATAGGCACGTGAAAAAGAAAGACATGGATGGGTGCATAGTAGTATAGGTGTAGGTGTTTCACCAATGTATTCCCAATGTTTCACCATTTTTTCCTTTAGATACCATGCATTTTCCAATCTATACGGAACATGGTATCTAGCCCTTGCCGGCTCAGGATGTTGCTGTACATCCTGGAATCTCAGATCAAGGTGTGATCGATGGTGATGACTTAAGTAGCTGGTTATAGCTGGGTATAGCTGGTTACCCTCTGGTAATTTAACATAGCTATTGAAAATCACCATTTTTAATGGGAAAATCCACTATTTCTATGGCCATTTTCAATAGCCATGTTAAATTACCAGAGGGTATATCTGGTTATAGCTGGATTCTTATAGCTGGTTGATGGGAATGATCTAACTGGCTGGTTTCTTGGTGAACTGAAACTCAGGAGCCATGACATGGGGACCCGTGGTTCCCACTCAGTCACTGGATAATAACGTTGGATACCTTGGTAAGTAACTTCTCTAACTGGGTTATCCCATATATATATAATATACATGGGTTTTAGCCATGGTTATATACTCACCTGGTACTGAATCATTACCAAGCATCATTCATCCATCTATCTACTGATTATGAACCATTACCAAGCATCATTCATCCATCTATCTACTGATTATGAACCATTACCAAGCATCATTCATCCATCTATATACTGATTATGAATGAACCATTATCAACCATCATTAACCCATCTATCTAGTGGTTCTGAGCAATTAACCATCATTGACCATTATTAGCCATCATTAAAACAACCATCATTATTGACCATCATTATTAACCATTATGAACCATTCTTAGCCATCACCTATGAACCATTGTGAGCCATCACCACGATTCACCAACCATCAGGTGGGTCAAGATGACTTGGCCTTGCAGCTGCTATGGTTGTTGCAAGCCCTGGCTGCGGAAGCGCCCACCGATCGATGGGCGGACACGATGCGCCTCGGCCGATGGCGGGAGGATGGAGCTAGTGGATCTATCCCCTACAGGATGGGGCCCCCCAGTGATGTTTGTTGGTTTATAAACAACTATAATCCCCATTAACTATAGTTATATCTACCATAAACCATTGTTAAGCCACCTATAGACCAACTGAACGCTATCTTGGGGGCCCCATCCTGTATTGGGTTGATCATCGCACTGATTTGACTGTGAGTTAGCTTCGCAACTTCGCAACTTCATCCTTTTTCGTACAGTTGCTTCGGCGAAAAGGTGAGAGGTTGCGAATGATCCAAGCTATGAAGAAACGGGTCACTGGTTGGTAGTCTCAGACATGTCTTATTTCCATTCCTACCCGGGATGATGAGTCCAAAAAACGTTTTCTTTTTTTTCCCAAAAATGGGTTCCATTCTTACCCTCTACTTGTCACACAACGGGGCAGATCCCCCTTTTTAAGTTTCTCCTGTAGAATTTCTGCTTGGCAAGTGCTGACAAAAACACAAAATTCTTGCTGCTGACTGATCCTCAATTCACCGCCTTGAGATGGGTCATTTTACTAAAAAGGATTAGAATTATTTAGAATTCCATTAAATTCATTGTAAATTCATTATAAATTCATTAAAGTCTATTTCCCCATTCATTCCTCCATTGATTTCCTAAAGCTCCGTGCGCACCGTGCTCTCCGGTGGTCATTTTCGCTAGGAACGAAGCCTTGAGCCCTGCCATGTCCATCCCGGACTGGCTGGGGCATGGCTATGGCAAAGTGGCCGAGAACGCGCCCCAAATCCTGGCGCGGGAGTTACTCTGGGATGGGAAAGACCATTTAAGTGCCATTTGACTATGGATGGGGAAGCATCTGTCTGCCACCAATCATGTGTTTTTTTTGAGAACTATAAAGCATGGTGTCTTTAATGGAAAAACATATTCGATTGATGGGGATTTTCGAGCTTAGCCAGGATCACAAAAGGGTAGAAAGAAGGTCAAATGGTGCCAGAGAAGCGGTCAAGCTTTTTGGACATGATTTTGGACCCACGGAAATACTGGTCATTTGAGGATCAAGCCATCCGTTTTTTGAGATCAATAATCCTGACCCATGCCTCAGAACTAGAGAACGCAGCATTGAGGAATTGCAATGTTTGCTCACTTTATTTACCTGGAGAAACTTGGTTGAGTAAGGGTACAGTACTGGGTTACTATGTTTCTGTAGATGTGGGAATATTTCAGTTAAGACCCAGCCAAAGATTGCTTCTCAGCAGGGGATCATTCTTGTTGAAGTTTGCGAAATGAAAACCTCATGTTTGATCAAATAGTACCAGTTTTGTGGAGTTAGCGAAGACTGGTGATCGTAAGTGGGTTATATCCGTTATATCCCCAAGCAAAACCGGGCATAAGTAGTTCATGGTGAAAATAGCCCGGTTACAATCAGGAGTTCACTACCTCCACTTGGATGTGCATGGTAGCAAGTGGCTTATTATTATAATCCATATAATCCATATAATCGAAGGAAGTTTAGAAGTCAAACTTCCGACAATATGGACAGATGAAAAGCAGAGATGGGAAGAGTCAAGGAAGAGAAGAGAAGAAGAACGAAGATCAAAAAAGAGAAAGTTTCAGAAGAAAGAAGATCCAGGTGCGCGAAAAGGTAGGAAAGTCGCGAAACACTGTGTTTTTCCAATGATTTGTGGCTCCGGAGGGTCGAAAAGTAGGCTCGCTAAAGGGGCGGGTGCGGAGCCAGCTGGCCAGATGAGAGAAGAAAAATTGCACGCCGTTGTGGCGCGAAGCACATTTCCAAGTCAAAATGTACAGAACACCTCAACGTAGGACCACTTTTGGAAGTTGAGATGTCGAAAAAGTGCACGCCGTTGTGGCGCGAAGCACATTTCGAAGTCAAAAGTGCAAAAAAAAATTGAGGGTACGGAGCACTTTTGGACGTTCAGATGTCGTTTTTCGTGGCACGCAAGCGATTGTGCACCTTGTCAAAAGTGAGCAAAACGTGAGGGTTTTGTAGCATTTCCAAAAACGATGGCAGGTGTGGAGCATTTGAAGAGGATCTGCAAAGATGCATTTTCCGTGGCAGGCGCAGTACAAAAGACATGTTCATCAGAGCTGTTAGGAGGTCCGGGCGCTGATTTCCTGAAAAGGGTTGCATTTTGGAGCATCAGATCTTCAGGTTTGCTGTAATGATGTTGCGTGACAGGTGCAGCACTTTGTGTGACCTGGCATCACTTTTTCGTGGGAGGTGCAGTACTTTAGACAGGTGGAGTGGAGAAATCGCAAAACCCATTGGTACGAGGCCATCAACTCTGCACCCAACTTTCCATTTTTGAAGGAAGGCTCGCAGAATTGTTTCATTTTTGATGTTGTCAACTTTGAAACTTGAGGAAGTCTCGCCCAGAATTGTTCGTTTTTGATGTTGTCAAGTTCAAAAATTGAGGACGTCTCGCCGAATTGTTTCGTTTTTGACGTTGTCAAGTTCAGAGGTTGAGGAAGTCTCGCAGAATTGCTGCGTTTTCAAGCTTGCAGGTAGACAGACAGACAGACAGATAGGCAGACAGGCAGACAGGCAGACAGGCAGACTGGCAGACAAACAGATAGATAGATAGATAGATAGATAGTTAGTTGGATAGATAGATAGACAATTACAGCTACAACTACCACTACACTACACTACTGCTACAACTACAAATACAAATATACTACACTACATTACACTACACTATTTACGCTACACTACACTAATTACATCTAATTACATCTGATTACACTACACTACACCAAGTACACTAACAACTACAACCACAACTACAACTACAACTGCACTACACTACCACTAATTACACTGCAGCACACTACAACTACAAATACAACTACAACTACAACCACATTACAGTACACAACACTACACTACATTGATTACATTGCATGACACTATGACTACGACTACGACTACGACTACACTACACTACACTACTCTACTTTACTCTACTCTACTCTACTCTACTCTACGCTACGCTACGCTACGCTACGCTACGCTACGCTATACTACGCTACACTACACTACACTACACTACGCTACGCTACACTACACATACTACACTACACTACACTGCACTGCACTGCACTGCACCACACTACACTACACTACACCACAGCACACCACACCACACTGCACTAATTACACTGCACTACACTACAACTACAACTACACTACCTTACACTAGACTACACTACACTACACTATACCACACTACACTACACAACACTACACGACATTACACTGCACTACGCTACACTAATTACACCACACCACGGATTCAACTGCAACTACAATTGCGAATACACTAATTACACTACATTACAGCTACAGCTCCACTACACTACAACTACAGCTACAACTGCAACTACAACTGCAATTGCGCTACACCACACTACATCCAGCAGTTGTGGTAAGGTGACCACTGCAACCACTGCAACCACTGCAACCATTGCAGCCGTTCCAAAAAACACAACTCCAACTACCTGTCGGTCCATCAGTGGATTGGCTGTGCCATCCGTGATTCACAACAACCTACCTCTCCTATAGGTTTCCTATTTTTGAACTTCCGCCACCGCCTTGTGAGGTACTACTGGTATATATATATACATATATTCCATATAATATATCATATTTTATATATAATATAAAATAAAATCTATAAGAATAAGAGATAACATAATATGATAGTATATTATAATATGTTATCTATGTGATCTGTGTGGCCATGTCACGCAGGCAGCGGTCTTGTCCTTTTTGGCGAGCTGTGCCTCGCAATGTGCGCGCTGCCGGGAGGAGTGCTCTGAGTACATCCGATGGCCCAAGATTCAGCAGTTGATGCTCTCACCACAAGGCGGTTCCCAGCCATTCCCTTAGATTCTTAGCTTTTTTTTGCGGGATAGTGATTGTTTAAACACAACCGATAGAAGTTAAACCTCTAGCAGGGGACCTGGGAACCAACCAGGTGAGGGGCTTGTCGATGGAAAAGTCGCTGGAAAACATGGAGATGAAGCTCTGGTGTTGGCAACGTACTTTCGTTGTTGTGGTGATGATGATGATGGTGATGATGATGATGGCGATGATGCTGATGATGGTGATGCTGATGCTGCTGCTGCTGTTGTTGGTGATGATGATGACGATGATGACGCTGATGATGATGATGAAGAAGAAGAAGATGATGATGATGGTGACGGTGATGGTGATGAAGCTGATGATGCTGCTGCTGCTGATGATGCCTCTCCTGATGATGCTGCTGCTGCTGCTGGTGATGATGATGATGGTGGTGATTAGAATGATGATAATGATGATGATGATGATAATGTTGATCGGCGCTGCTGCTGCTGCTGATGATGATGGTGATGATGATGATGGTGCTCATGATGTTGATGCTTATGATGATAATGCTGTTACTGGCGATGATGTTTCTGATGATGACGAACCTGCTGGTGATTAATGTGCTGATCATGATGGTGCTGCTGCTGATGATGATCATGATGCTGCTGCTGCTGATGATGATGGTGGTGACGATGATGATGATGATGGTTGTGATGATGATGATGATGACGATGCTGATGCTGGTGCTGATGATGCTGCTTCTGCTGATCATGCTGCTGATGATGCTGCTGCTGATGATGATGGTTATGATGATGATGGTGATGATAATGATGACGGTGATGATGGTGATGATGATGATGGTGATGATGATGACGATGCTGATGCTGGTGCTGATGATGCTGCTTCTGCTTATCATGATGCTGATGATGCTGCTGCTGATGATGATGGTTATGATGATGATGGTGGTGATGATGATGACGATGATGATGGTGATGATGATGATGGTGATGATGATGATGATGCATGGTATCAAACGATCCTGATTTATATCTGTATGGAACCGTGGAGTCCATAGATAAAACGTCTCCAAGGCTGGCCATTGTGGAATCACATTTACTTTAGCTTTGTCTCACAATGGCGGACACCTCACAATTGCATTTTTGAATAGGGAGGATGATGATTGACCATCGCATTTGAGATTTCACATGACATTTTCAATGCGGAACATGATGAAAAACCATCAAATTCCAAGGTCTGACCTTCATACCACAGGCTCAGGTACCCAAGAAAACACCAATCATTTTGAGCTTGACAATTTTACCCACATTTGTATTTGGGATACACCTCCCTCAATTCAACATAGAATCCGATGGAACCCGCAAAATTAGGTCTGGAAATTGATTTGCGCATAGAATATAGTCATTTTAGGGTTCCGTGTTGGATTTACTCGGTTTTAATATCCACAACTAGGCTATATACATACCATAAATTACACCGGTATTATTGTACAAAACAGTATTTTGGACAAAAACATACATTCTTATCTTGTTGAGGGTACTAGCGTTGTAGGTTATACCCATTCTATCCTCATTCTATCGCCAGAGTAGCCCCTTGCCTCTATATACATAAATGTACACATACAAATCCCTTCTTCTCTCTCATATACAATCAAATCCGCCTTCTATCCCCAGAAACAGTCTCCATAATCATATATACCATGCAATTGCATGAAATTTAAGTGTCCAGTCTCTCCCCATGAAACGGTTGGGTTTTTCCACCAGGATCTTTGCCGCCTTTCAGAGCTGCCGCGACCACCTCGCAGCCCCGGACGCTGCGCGCTTCGCGCCCGCCGCGCGCGCGGCCTGTCGGATGACGGCACAGATTGCGGCGCATCATCCGCTGGACGGGCTGGCGGGTGGGGGTTGAGGTTGAGAGTAATCCCCAAGATGGTTCAGATTTTAATCAAATCTGACTAAGGTAGTAGTAAATTACTTTTAGGCATATTTCGGCATCGTGCTTTTAAATTGATGTATTTGAATACAAAAAAATACTCGAACAGATCCAGCATCCAAGAAACTCCAAAAGAGAAACCGGAGACACTCAAGTGATACATGGTCCAAGATCAATGAAAACATGAATACATGAATGAATGAATGAATCAATCAATGAATAGATAGATCGATCAGCTACTGAATCAAAAAGTGTATAAATGAACAGCTATATATATATATATCTCTCTCTCTCTCTCTCCCTCTCTATACATACATACATACATACATCCATCCATCCATCCATGCATACATGCATGCATACATACATACATACATACATACGGACACACATACACACATACACATATATATATATATTGTCTATATTTGTACAATCTGTACATATATACACATTTGCACATTTAGCTGTACATTGCACTACATCATTACATTGCGTTACGTTGCAGACAACACATTGCAGTACATTGCAGTACATTACATTGCAGCACAGTGACATGACATCACATGTCATTACACATCACATGTCATTACACAACATCAGATTCCATGCTTTATGACATGAATCCAGTTGGCTCTTCTTTTGTGGGTCATAAACCTCAAGATTGTGAGTTCACTATCCAGAATTTCTGGGCCATTTGAGTTCCAGATAATGGGATTGTCCCACCTATGATACCTACGGCATGTCATCTGCCGTGTTCAATTCTGTTCAATGATCAGATTAGATTTTTTTTGGGAAGATCTTATCCCATCATCCATCATCCATCATTCTATCATCAGTTGCTCAAACTTCCAAGTGTTTGTTGGTCATTCATCATGTTCCCCTTTGAGTTCCCACCCTTAATTCCTCCAGCTGTCGCCTTCGGCCCCAGTGGGAAGGATGTGGAAGAGCATGAGGAACTGGTCTGCGAGCTCTTAGGCTCGGGACGGGGCGGATGGATGGCAGATTTCAAGCGAACGGGGGGCCACTGTTTCACATGGAAGATCCGATTTCTGGAAATTCATGGCAAGCTGCAGTAAATCCATGTAAATCCTCCATATCAAAATCATCCACCTTTATTAAAGAACCGAATATATTGACATATCTTCAATTAAAGCGGGGTCGCTTTCAATCCAACCTTGTTGGGATGATCATAATCCGGGAATCCCGTTCTGAGAACGAACCAGTAGGGATAACATTTCGGGTCAGCTGAACACACCGAAAAACTGGAGGTTTGTGAATCCCTATTTGTTCGTTGTGCCCCATTATATTGAATTAAACATTCTCATTGTATCCCCATCCATAGATCATTTTCCCATATATAATGTCCCATTAGAAACCCATTATAACCATGGTAGTCCACTGTATCTCCAATTATAACCCATCCCAATAATCCCAACACATCCCAATAAATCCCAACAAATCCCAACACATCCCAATAAATCCCAACAAATCCCAACAAATCCCAACAACAGATCCCCATGAATCTCCCCCCAAAAAAGTCCTTTTCTGGTAGGCATGTTGTCGCAGAGCTCGGAGCTGGAAGAGCTGAGGGAGGCTGCG